ATATAAAGTTACAATTGCGTTTCCACGCAGAACATGATACAAGTGCGATTTCTTCTCTCTCTCCGACTACGCAATGAAATTTGACCCCTTGCGTTGCCGGCGCGAGAAAAAGTTGCACTCGTAAGCTATGCTTAAGACTTTAATGACAAAGAACAAGGGAAAAAGTGAAGTATAAAAAAGACTTACCGCGCCGTAGTATAGGACTTGCCCCATCAGGCAAGCTTGTGTCAATGTAAATATTGTTTATCGATGTGGCAAGACCAAGTAGAGTAAAGGACATCAGAACTTGTAGCACAAACATCTTTGATTGCATCTTCTAGATCTGTTCTAGTGTCAAGTTAAACTGAATTAGTTCATATCATTCAAGGTATAAATAATAAATAGCCACACTCCTTGCATACCACATGTGTAAAACACGGTTGTATTTTGGTTGGATGATATAGAACAGCGCAGGTGTCTGCTAAAACATGCATTACATTGAACCAATTATGTTCCAAATTACATGTTCTAATTTTTTAAAGCTTTTCACACTTTATTTTTAACATTTCTTCGTAGTTTTTGTAACCTTCATATCTGGGAGACTTAAACCTCCACAATCGATATTGTTTTGTTAAGGCTTACTTGTGGAATGAGAAAAATTCATATTCCGTGCTAGCGGTTAAGTTGTATGGCAGTTTAGCTAAGCATGCACATTTCCATAACTACAAACAAACTAATTTGCAATTAAGTGAAATGGCATACATCTCAAACGAATTGTTTTTGCTTTGCGAGTCCAAACAGCTGCATGTCAGCGACATTTTTGTTTTGAAAAACAAGAATATAGCTGACTAAGCCTGACTTCATTGTTCGCGAAAGCTGATATGTGTCGAAATATTTAGACAAATTATTTTGAGTACAAGTTGCTTATTTTTGTGAGCATTACTTGAAAAAATTACTACTTTGTTTGTTTCCATGGGGTTATTTCTCCCGCTGTGCGATTGTGCTCAAGACATGCCATTATAAAACAAGCAAACATCGAAACGACGCCGTTTGGAGCCAAAGTGCCATGAACAATCAAGTCTATTAGAGTTCTTGCATGCATGCATGCATGCATGCATGCATGCATGCATGCATGCATGCATGCATGCAGCTGTATTTCTTATGACTGCATGGTAAAAAAAACTCAAAATAACTTTAGCAACATACTTCGCCAATCTATCTTAGGAAGTGTCTATATGGAAACTGGAACGAAATGAAATTTTCTTATGTTCATATGAGAAAATTTCATGCCGCTTCCCGAGACAATTTTGTTATTTTGACATTGTTTTGACAGCTGTTAAACCAACCTGTGGCAGCCTGCTTGTGCATGAGCGTTTATATGAAGCATCAAAACGTTGCGCTTGTTTCAGTATCATAGCGCTTATACTTGCGTGGTAGTGCATGAGGTCTTTCTCGTCAACCGGTTTCGCATTACATTACGAGTCAATGTTTCTAATGTAAAATATCTCGGCGAGTATTTACCCCCTTTTGGAACAAAACCCACCATTGAAATCCCCACCAAATAACCTTTCGAATGGGGGGTCAAGTGCGGTCAAAACAGTACACAAACCGAAACAATCATATATTTATACTCACCGCTTGGCCAAACATTCTGTTCGGCATATCGAGAAAAAGTTGAATATTTTCTAAACTCTTTGTCATTTTCTAAAAGACTATATGAGTAAAATACTCCTTGTATTCAAGCGCTTTCGTAGAGAGTTTCGTATGAATACGGCGAGTAGAAATATTTATTTTGAATTTTTCAAGATGTCGGGTTTTACCACTGAGCTATACTATATTACTGGAGGACCTGCTCGGCATCAACAAGTGAAGCCAAAAACATGGAGGATCTTACGCCATTGCCATGACTACTGGCCCCTAGATTCATGGCAACTACCACTGTCCCAACCGCGATCTTAAGCTTTCGACGATGTACTTCAACCCCCTGGTTTTTACAAAAAATATTTTGTATTCAAAGCCGAAATAATTTTTCTCGAGAAAAATGCCTCGTCTATGCCCTTTTTACGGATGCAACAATACTTTTTCAACAAAAAATATTTCTTCTGACCGGTAAGAATGCGTTAAACTTGTTTTTTCTGTTTTACACAGTTTTTTTTATTAAATATAAAATGAAAACTATTCAGTATAATAATTTAAAGGATGAGATTTATAAGGAAACTTTATAAGTTGACCGTAGTTTTATATTTATGAGTTTATTTGCAGCTTATTTATTATTAAATATAGTCGTAACAAGCCGCAGTTTATTTATCTTTATGCAAATTGGGATTCTCTTAACTTAGTTACTTCGTAGCTTTCATTGGTAGCTATACTATTTCACTAAAAAGCTAGCGTTTTCAACACGAAATGGCGTCAGCATAGGTTGATGATAGCTATTAAAGTGCATATGACATGAATTTTTTTATTTTCTTAAATGAAAGAACTCTTTAAGCTGTAGTGTAACTTAGTTTTCAGTTTCTTGTTTTTATGGTTTTTTCCCGAGATATTTCAATTTGTTTGATATGTAAATGAGTGTGAATATGTCCGCTAATTTATGACATCACGTTGGTTGCAAGCTCTTCAAAATGGTTAAATATCACGGCTATCATCCAAGATAATATTTTCTAACTTCACTCACTGGTAAATGTGATAAAATACTGTAGAAAAACGTGAACTGATAACTACAGATTTTAGAGTTATTAGATTTTATTATAACCAGTGTAAGTTGAGCTTGCAACCAACGTGACATCATAAATTAGCGGACCTTTTTCACACCATAGATATCTTATATACACTAGATAGCGCATCTCTTTTAGTAAAATTGAAGCCAAGAATATTCCAGCGGTTACCCCCATTTGAATAGATGGCGGCCATGTTGGTCGTTCCCACTTGCTAATAAACGCTTAAAAACAACAATAACTTTCATCATTTGAATAGTTTAAAAAGTATTTGAAATAGGGTTAACTTAATGTTTAAGTTCCCTGTTTAAGAAATAGAAAACATACGAATCTTCTCATTTTATGGGAACGACCTGAGACTGCAATCACGGCTTCAATTTTTGAATTTCAGAATAATTAGATGCACTAACTAGTGTATATAAGATATCTATGATTCACACTCATTTACATACTAAACAAATTGAAATATCTCGGGAACAAACCATAAAAAACAAGAAACTGAAAAATAAGTTACACTACAGCTTAAAGAGTTCTTTCATTTAAGAAAATAAAATAATTCATGTCATATGCACTTTAAAAATGTGATTTATTCATATTAATCAGTTCTGTTTTAATATATTTTGTGTCGTTTGGATAGTGGGAATTAGGCTCCATTGGCTTCTGCTAATACTGTAGTCTGATTTATCATATTATAACAAAATGTATTTTATATATTATACAGCTTCCCTGATCCAAAGAAATATCCGGAGATGTACGGCAAATGGCTTGACTAAAATGTCGGCAGAAATGCACGGGTTAAGTTCGTGCCGACAGGGGGAAATCGTCTTTGTTCAGAACATTTTAGCTCTGAGATGAAGGAAGAGGGTGGACAAAGAGTAATACTGAAGCCATCTGCTGTTCCAACAATATTTCCCACTTCTAAGGTTTGTCCAGTTTTCTCTATCATTTTCTCATTTAATAATGTTTAAACGTTTAACATGTTTGTGCCCACAACAATTTTTTGTTGGCACTTAAATAGGCCTATATTAAATTCTCATTTAATATCTGCACACTAACTGTTTCTCGATCTCACATGTTTCTCATTTTATACATATATACCCTTGGGGAATTCCAAGGTCAATCAACTTATACCTGAGGAATTCCAAGTACACAATATGCTTTTTTTTACAATTTATCATGTGGTATTAAAATCTATAATAGTTCAGTTCTTACGGCATAAATAGTTGACCTACACAGTGGCAGACAATAGCTGCAACAATAATTCCATGAGAGCAATTGTCAGATTATAAATTAAGCAAAGTATTGCAGGAAATTTACATGCCACAAAAGGTCTAGAGGTGTTAAATGTTTTTGGCAACTGAGTAATTACCACTCCACCCCCCCCCCAATATTTTGCAAAGTGTCCACCATTGGCCATTTTTATTCATTAAAAAATTTCATTCATAAACTTAAAAAATTTCTCTCTAAAACTTTCATTCTATAATTGCTTCATGGCAAGTCCTATGTTGCTGAATGGCAGATACTAGGGAAGGGGTAATCAACCCCCCCCCCCCTAATAATTTCTAATGGTGGCTGAATAACTGTGTCAAAAACAATTTGTAACAACAATTTTACTGACAAGCATGCATGAATTAGCATCATTGTGGGGGAGGGGGGGGGAGTGTTGAAATTGCAGCAACAGATTTTGCATTACTAACATCAGAGTCACAACATCAGGACTAAATGTTTGTGTATTATACAATGACTAATTGACCATTTTCTGCACATCCATGGTTGATAGAATAATAGTTGTTTGATCCCATAACTTGCAAGAAATATCATGTGCCTATGATATATTATGAGTTGAAATTTGCAAAATTTTCCCCGAGCCGACGGCGCGAAGCGTCGTGCGAGGGTACTAATTCCCCCGGCTATTTACACCCGGGGAAACGAAAGCATTAGCGAAGTCTAAAGTTCATCAAATATCGCGGGCGTGGTTCACCAACCGTGGGTGGTCATCCTCACTGATCTCAAAAATATGGCGGACTGTCATGAATAGCAAACACTGTGATTGGTTCAATTTAAAGTTTGCATTATAACGACTGCATGACGACAGCGAAATAGCAAACATTTCTTTATTTGATGATTGATAAATTTCTTGCAAATATATTTCATTTTTGCAAGATTTTTGCAAGATTTTGTAAATTTCAAGAAAGAAATGGCGAAAGAATCGGCTAAAAGAAGGGAGCCGACGTTAGCGAAGGTAAGTTTGTTTTAAATATGAATATTTAAATATAATTTGTTTTAAATATGAAAATATGAATCAAGATGGCGACAAGACAACACGCCTCCAAGCGCTCTGCGCAAAATTCTAATATTTCGAACCCATGTACGCCAAATAAAACAGTGAAAACCAAGAATAAAAAATCTAACACGCCTGAATCAAAAACAAAAGAAGAACAAGAAGGTCAAAGCAATGAAATGAGTGAAATTCACGATATGTTCGCTATGATGATGAAGAAACTGGAGAAGCTTGACAGCATTGAAACGAAGCTTAAAAATATGGAGATAAATATGGCTGAAATTAAAGAGTCCTTAGAGTACGCGCACGCTGAAATCGCGGACTTAAAGAAAGAAAATGAATACAGCAAAGAAAATCAAGCACAAGCCAGGGAAAAAATTGAAATTTTAGAACGCGATAATAAGACATTGCGCGATAAAATAATTGACATTCAAGCTAGATCAATGCGCGACAATTTACTTTTCTTTAACATGCCTGAATCGGAAAAGGAAAATACTACTGAAATGATTCACGAACTATTGGAATCAAAGATAGGAATAACCGACGCGCGCAATACAGTAAAGATTGATCGATCACACATAATTGGCAGAAAGAGAGACGGAGATCGAAAACCAAGACCAATAGTGGTAAAATTCAATTATCATCAAGACCGGGAATTTGTGCGACTCAATGCAAAAGAGCTGAGAGGAACAAGAATAGGAATATCCGAGCAGTTTCCCGAAGAAATTGAAAACATCCGTAAAACCTTATATCCCGAACTAAAGAAAGCGAAATTAGAAGGTAAAAGAGCAAAAATTGTTCGAGATAAACTCATTATTGAAGGTCAAGTTTTTAATAGATATAATAGTAGATATTGAAATTTGACACTCTCTTGAAATACTATAATATTTACACTTTTTGATACCTATTATTCACGACTTCGCATATAGTTAACTAAAACATCTGAAATGGCTACTTTCAAAAATAAACAAAAAAACAAATTGCTCTTCATGCCTCAAAATAATTGGAAAAACGCAAAAATCAATTGAATGTCTGACATGTCGCAAACAGTTTCATGCTGTGACTTCATGCGCAAACAGTATCACAGGAAACACATTAGATACTTGCCAAAAATGCCTAAATAATATTTTACCATTTCAAACGCTTGATGATTTAGAATATCAATTCACTGTTCTAAATGGAAATAATGTCAGTGAAAAAGATATGGATAGGCTAAATAATCTAAAGTTCAACCCTTATGATGCAAGTAGTGACATTGCGTTATCTGAAAACAACACAAATCTAGAAAACTCGTCTAAAATTAAATAGATTGTGAGTATTATCTACCAAGTGATTTCAATAAACAACTAAATAAAGCAAGCAATAATAATATAAACTTTTCAATAATACATCTAAACACTAGAAGTATAGCTAACAAGACGCTCTGCGAAGCGTTAACTCGCTGGGGCTATACTAGACTTGGTTAGGGCCTGAACTTCAGGTTAGTTGAACTCCGTCTCTCATATTTTCGCACCTTTTTTGACCGCTCGCGTGAATCGCTATTTTCAACCCCTTGAGAGACGGACTTGAACCCGAGTCTAGGGCTATACAAATACGCACATTACTGTACATGATACATACAGTACACAGCTATTTCAATTAAGATTTATGGTCTTCCCCGAGGCCCGAGCTAAGCGGAAAAGTCGATACCAGCACGACATGTAACACAGTACTAAAATGCGGTAGGCCCTACAAGTAAAGTTATATTTTATAGTACGCTACATTCTATTTCTTCAAGACTGTCAGCCGCCAGTTGGTCCGTACGCTAGGATTAAACTGCGCTTTAAAGATGCGACACAGTCTGATCTGCGCATGTGCACAAAGGAGCCCTCTTTTTATTTACAAACAGTTTATTTAGGTTTTTATTTCCTTTTATGTTCTTGCAAAGCTTGATTGTTGTCTCTTGATAATTTATTATACTCTAGAATCATGAAAATATAAATAGTTGTCGAATGAAATTCAATATTTTGGATACCGAAATGTAAACAAAGCCTTTGTT